AAAAAAAAAAAAAAAGAAATGGCTGCCCCTGGTCACCAAAAGACATTTACAAGAACGTTTATAGTGGCATTATTCCTAAGAGCCTCAAATTGGGCTATTAACGAAATGCCCATTAACCATAAAACGGATAAATAAAATGGGCAAATAAACAATAAATGGATAAAAAACATAGCACAACATCCTTACGGTAGAAAACTATACAGCAGCGTGAATGAACAACCTATAATTCACAAACAACATAGACGAATGATCGCAAATGTAACCTTGAGCATAAGAAGCCAGACACAAGAGTACATACCACAAAACACTATTTAAATAAAGTAAGAACTAGTCAAAATCTATGTAAGCTCGTAGAACAATGGTGGTAACCCTTGGTGTGGAGGAGTAGCGATGGCAAGGGAGAATGACAGGGGCTCTCGCGGTGCTGCTGACGTTTTGTTTCTTGATCTGGATGTCTGTTACACAGTTGTGTTCGGTACGTGAAAGTGTATATTGAAATGTACCCTTATGACACGTGGACTTGTCCGTATGTTTACTGTATTAGAGCCATGGTTCTCAACATGGTAGTGTTGCCCATTAAGGAACGCCTGCAATGTTCAGAGACATGTTTGATTGTCACAACTGGAGAGGGGTGTTACTGAACATCAAGTGGGTTAGATGCCACTTGTGGCATCCAGGCTTGCCCTAAGTCGGCCACACGTTCCCCATCTCCTCCCTGCACATCACATCTCCACACCCCCACATTGGGACATGAGGTGGGGAGATGTGGACTGACCCTGAGTGGGTCTGCCATCTGTCCACGATCCCACGACCTCCTGGAGGAAGACACCAAACAGCCTATAGCGTTCCCCATAATCAAAAAAAAAAAAAAAAATCTGACCCCAAATGTCAAGAGTGCCCGGGCTGAGAAACTTACTAGAATGAGGAGTTTAACAGATACCTAGATTTTAGGACCGACCTGAAAGCAGGTGATGTCTTTATCAAGGTAGTGATGACTAACACAGAGGCATGTTCAGAAGGTGGAGCCAAAGAGTTCAGTTGGACCCGTTAGGTTGAGAAGACCGTCAGGCACCTAAGGAGCATGCGGAGTCAGCCCTTGAACATAGGAATCTGGAGTTCAGGGTAGAGGTTAAAGCTAGGGATATAAACTTGAGAGTCTTTAGTAGAGAGATACAAAGCTGTAGGGCTGGCCGAGATCACAGGCAATGAGTGTACACAGAGAAGTCCAAGGATTGAGTGCAAGGGCGTGCTGTCATCTAGAGGTCACAAAGAGGAAAATCCACCAGTGAGGTTGGGAGGAGACCCAGGAAGGGGTGACCCAGAAATTGAGTGAAGAAAAATTTCAGTAACAAGGGCATTACCAACTGTGTCGAACGAGCTGAGAGATGCGTAGGATGAGCACAGAGTGCCCGTGGCACCTGGCTACAGGAAACGCATAGGTGGCTTTGAAAGGAAAGATTTCAGAGGTGTGCGAGTCAGGCTGGAAAGGGTTGCAGAGGGAATGGAAATTGAGGAAGTGGAGACCGTGAGTGGAGACTGTACTTGGGGAAGTTTTACTGTGGGTGGGAGCGAGA